TTACAGATCTTCATTGAAGTTTTAATTTCATTTCAATACCACTGGGAAAAATGATAATGGAAGGGATTAAAAGTTGGCAGGTCTGTAAGTGTTTTCTCCGTAAAGAAACATTGGACATTGGTCTATTCACAAAAAACAATTGATACAAAATTCCTAATAAAAATAAATAAGGGAAAGGTGATTTCTGATTTGTTAGAAAAATTAACAATTACTATCTTAGAGGAAGTGTATCACGGACACTCCTTGAATTTATTGCTGCACAGTACTTTTAAAGAATGTATCCTTCTAAAATTTTTATTAATTTTTCAAATTCTAAAAGTGTATCATCAATTTGAGATTCAAGCTATTTTTTTGCTTTTTCTCAAAAGTACAAAATTTAATACTTTCATTTTGTTAAATAATAATTTTATAAATTTTCCCTTTTCAAAATGCAATATTAATTTAAAAGTTTTATAATCATATTTTTTATTTTATCAGTATATGATTTGTTAACAATGCTTGTGTTAAAAAAATTTCAAAAACATAAAATTGTTTTCCTTTTATTTCTTCTTCTTCTTTGTCAGCACTACAGCCTAGTGCAGGCCAAGGCGTTCTCAATTAGCTGCCTCCAGGCAGGGCGACTTTCAGCTAGATTTTTCCATTTGTTTATTCCCAACAATTTTAAGTCCTTCTCAACACTGTCCAACCATCTTGTAGCTGGTCTCCCTCTCCTTCTAGTTCCTTCAATTTTCGAAAAAGTAAGTTTTTCAACTAGGTTCAACTCTTTACGCCGAAAAACGTGCCCCAGCCATCTGATCCTGTAGGCCTTAATAACCCTCAAAATATTAGGTAATCTATATCTATTGTATATCTCATGATTATATAAATTTCTCCAAACATTATTTTTCTTAACTGCTCCAAAAATTGACCGAAGGATCCTTCCTTCAAAAATGAGTAGTCTATTTTCCTCTGTTTTATTAATTGCCCAGGTCTCGCTGAACCATGTAGAATAATTGGTCTGATTGAGGTTTTGTATAGATTTACTTTTGCACCAAAGGAGAGGAATTTCGATTTTGATTGGTTCCTCAGACCAAAGTAGCACTTATTAGCCATCAAAAGTCTGTTCCTAACTTCAACCCTTATCTCATTTTTGTTGGTAACAAGCGTACCCAGATACTTAAACTGGGTAACTCCTTCAAAGGTATAATCCCCAATTCTGAGTGGCTGTACATGATGCACTCTAGAGCTTACAATAAATTTTGGTTTTTCTTCGTTTACTGCTATAGTCTGTTCAACGAGAACTGATAGTGAAAGTAAACAAAGCAGCGTGCTATTTGGCGCAATACCGTTGCCTGCTTGGCGCCGGATTAATGACAAATAGCGCCTATCAGTCAAACAAAAACTCTTATTTCTTAGAGGGTTCTTTGTTTCGCCGTGGTGTCTTATTGCAGGTGTTGCATGAGAAATATGGAAAATGAAGTGATAGATTTAAGTCCTCCTAAAAACCGGCAGAAGAAATCTTACATAAGTAAAGCTGAGAAGGAAATAATATTGAACATTTATAAAACAGAAGTGCATTCAAAACCAGATGTTCCAATCATTGATGTGGCTGACCATGCGGTTTCTGTATCGGGAGTTAGCACAGCTTCTGTTTTCAGAATTATTAAAGAATATAAAAAGGATAATATATTACATTCACCGAAGAAGACTAAATCTCGTAAAACTCTTTTGGGTGACATTGACGATTTCGACAAAAATGCTGTAAGAAGAAAAGTTCATGATTTTTTCCGTCGTAACGAAATTCCGACAATAAACAAAGTTCTGAAAGCTGTGGACGATGATTCTAATTTACCAAACTTTAAAAGAACGGTATTTTATTTACTGTTAAAAAAAAAATTAGGCTTCACACATACTTCCCTTAGAAAAATAAAGATAACAGTTTAATGCAAATAAATGCAGTTCCTTCAAATATATTTTTAAATCAATCGGGGAAATATAAAACTATTTGAAATATTATTTAACTTTTAATAAATTTTAAAAAAAATTGTAATTATGAAAATAAAGAGTATTTTTTTAAACATATTCTTTCAATTCTATACGACTTTTACGATGGAATTATAAAAGTTGTTTTGCATAAATATTTAAGCAAAATATAACTAATTTAATTTAAACTTTAAAAAAATACATTAAAACTATCCTCAAAATAAAATTATGAGCTTACTGAAACAATTAGAAACGTATTTTCATGTAAATATTTTAATTTTGCTCTTTCTTATCTAACTTTAAGGTATCAAAAACCGAATATCGTTTTCGCTTTTCTATAAAAACGAAAGCGCTGTCGATTCAAACGAAATCGCCCATTCAGCGAAGAAACTGTTGAAGTGGCAAACGTTGGCAATCAAATAGCAACCCTTATGTTTACTTCCACTATCAGTTCTCGTTGAACAGACTATAGCCCCATATCCCTGGCAACTTTCTCAAGGGCAGTAAACGTCTCAACCACATCCTGCATTGTTCGCCCAACTATATCAATGCCATCTGCGTTGGCTAGTAGTTGTATAGATCTCTGCAGAATAGTGCCTCTAGTGTTGATCCCTGAATCCCTTATAACTTTTTCAAGGGCAATATTAAATAAAATGCAAGACAGAGAGTCTCCTTGTCTAAGACCTCTCTCGGTATAGAATACTTTTGATACGTCAGACATGAGTTTAACTCAGCATTTTACACTTCGTAATGTCATTTTGACAAGATTGGTAAATTTGGGAGGGATTCCAAGTTCACACATCGCCTCAAATAGCTTACTTCTATTGAAACAATCATAAGCTGTCTTAAAATCGACAAACAAGTGGTAAGTATCAATTCCGTATTCTTTTGTCTTTTCGAGTATTTGTCTAAGCGTATGTATTTGGTCTACAGTAGATTTTCCCTCCAAAAAACCACATTGATATTTTCCTATAATTTTTGTAACATATGGAAGAAGTCTACGAAATAGGATGTTGGAAAAGATCTTAAAACCCACGTTCAAAAGTGGTAGTTGTGACAGTTCAGGTTGTCTCCCTTTTTATGGATGGTGAAAATCAAGCCCTCTTCCCACCCATTGAATGGGCATCTGTTCTTGGATCCACACCTCACAAATGACCTTTAAAAGCTCATTGTTCAACTCCGGTGCATTTGCATTAAAAAGTTCGGCCTTAATGCCATCTGGGCCAATTCAGCTTTTTAAGAGTATACTCCAGTTCACACAATGTGGGTACATCAGCATCTTGTATTTGTACATGAGTATCTGATATTTCAACATCAACTTCTTCAACCGGGCCATCGTTTTCCTTTTATTTAGTATAAAATAATGTGAACTTGATAGAATAGTATTGATTTTTTTTATTGGTTATTAAATTAGTTTTTTTTTTGTGTTTTAAAAAATACTTCTATTTTAAATTAAAATCATTAGTAAATTATTCTCTAATTTCATAATTTTATCCGCGAGACAACGCAGACTTTAAAAAATATGCCATTTCATTGATTTTTCAGAATCAAAATTTTATGAATTTCTATATTTTAGTGATTTAATTTTCCATGTTTGTAATTTTTTCAATATTGAACTTAAAATTATGTCAAATTTGAATAAAATGTCATAAGATGTAAAAAGTATGTCATACATGATGTAAAATGTATGTCATATTTGAATAAAATTGAAAATTATAATATTGTTTGTTACCTCTAAAATCGATAAATTATAATCTTTAATGTATAATAAATTTCTTTTTAAAAAAGTTCAAAATATTGTTTGTCTTTTACTTTTTCCCGTTTAACAATTTAGTGATTACATTTATATTTTAGTTAGTTTATTTTCGCTTACATATACTACCCATTGCCCTCAACACAAATTGTCCGTCGAAGCCCTTCATCTTACGAGCAAAGTAATATGTTCACTCTAATGTTGGCGTGTAACTGACATTAGAGTGAACATAGTACAAATTTTTATACAGCAATTCAAATATGGTTTTAATATTCTTCGAAAATATCCATTCATTTTTAAAATTGATTAAATTATAAAAGTTCTTTTTTAGTTCAAAACATGCTACCCCCTCTGCTACATGAAGTCACAACAGGGTGAACGATTTTCAAATTTTTCTATACATTTTGGGAAAAAACGATTTTTTAAAACCAGTTTTAAACCTAAATATGGATGTCATATTTTTCGAAATACCTATTTATGTCTATAAATATTTTCAGAAAACTTCTGCCTATATATATATATACAGAGATGCCAACTTGCTCCGGACAGCAAATACATATTTTAAAGTGGTAGTTTATCAATTGTAATTCTTGGTTTAATAAATCCAATTTAGTATATTTTTATCCACCACTATTTCTAAATAATTCGTAGTTTTATANTATATGTGTGTGTTACTTAATAACCGCCGTTGAACAGCTAACCTAATTTTGGGTTTTCAACTACTAATGTTCAACTCCGTAGCCTTGTAATTTTGAACCCAATACAGAAGACAAGAGAACTCCTGGATCAAGTATGTGGAGAAATTTGCCTTTTTGGAGAACTTTTTGATGGAACTGACCCGCATTTGCGCTACATGGAGAGGAAAATCACGAAAGCCTTCCCCGGTTGGCCTGTCGGCAAGGGGACTCTAACCCGTGATCCGTAGACCATTGAGGATGTTTTACGTCAGAAATATGGTCGGTGTAAGTCGGATGCGGAATTCGTATCGACCTGCCACCACTGGGATTCGAACCCGGTTCACTTCACTGCAAGGTGATCGCTCTATCCCCTGAGCCAACAAGGCTCTTTACCTATATATAGATCATATTCGGGTGGACAGTTTAAGACTTTTTCGTAATTTTTTTAAAAACGAAATTGATTTGAAATCAAGCTTAAACATTGGCGCAATATTTTCCGAAAATGCACATATATGTTTATAAATGTATTAAGAAAACTGCAACAACAAAAAAAAATCCTTTTTATTCCAAACTCCTGTTATTTTTTTACAGCTAGATTAATTTGAAAGTATTTTTACTCGCAAATAAGGACATCATACATTCCGAAAACACCTATTTATGTCTATTAATGTTGAAAGGAAACTTTAAAAAAATTCTTTATTCCAGAACATGCTAACTCTAAAGCCTGGTTGGAAAGGCGTTGGACTCGTGTTCGTGAGAACGATAGCTCAAATCCAGCAGGCCAAAGAATCCCGGTGCATTAAATGGTGACTTGTGCACGTTAAATCTGTCGGGACACAAAGTTCTCCAAGTTTCCATAACAAATCAATACCATAATAATCTGAGGGTAGTGATTCAGGAGTTCCTTTGTCATCTGGCTTGGGTTCAAAATTACAAGGCTACGGGAGTTGAACTTTGATAAAACTCTAATTTGGGTAGGCTGTTCAACAACGGTTACAAAATAAAAACTCTAAAGCCTAGATATAGTTCACATCTGGGTGAAAAATTTCGAAATTTTTATTACTTTTTGGAAAGTGAGATCAATTTGAAACTGCTTTGACGCTTAAATATAGGCATTATATTTCTCAAAATATCAATATGTGTCTATAAATTTTTATATGAAACTAAAATAAACCAAAACATAACCCCCACTGCCTACATACAAACATTAGAGTAAACTATTAGCTATTTGAAATTTTTTTTTTTTTTTTTTTTTTTTTTTTTAACTTTTTGGAAAATTAGATCCAGTTGAAACTGGCTTCACAATCATACTCATATATCGTCTTCATATTGCCCAAAAATATCCGTTTATTTCTAAAAGTATTAAGAGTAAATTCTGAAAAAATTATTTTTTGGTCCAAGCATGCTAACTCCGAAGCCTACTTATAATCGACATGCAGCTCACATTAGAATGATCATTTTGCAAATTTTCTTTATAATTTTTTGGAAAGTGAATTGCATTTCATACTGGTTTCGCATTTAAAAAAAGAACGTCATATTTTCAATACTATCCATTTATTTCTAGAAATCTCTTAACTAAATTAAAAATAATTTAGCAGAAATCTTAAAAAGAAATATCGTATTTTATAATTAAAAATAAAAAAAAAGTTTAGCAATCGACAACCAAGGAAAAATAGGAATGAAATTTTCTGCTACACATACGCAAGTTTTTTGTAAGTTAACCACATTTAAATATTAATCACCCCAATTAAATATTTCTTCATTGTTGCCAAATTATCGTTTGTTTTAAAAAATAATTGCAATTTTTCTCGTCTTCTATTAATCAAAAACAATTGAAATTTTAGATTGCTAAATAGAAAAATACATAGATTAATATGGTATAAAAAAGTTATGTCTCAAAATTCACAATTTCTTGTCCACCATCCACTATTAAATTAAATGATAATAAATAATTATGAAAAATTACTTTTTGCATGAAATTACTTTAGCATGAAATTATCTTAATTAGTAAAACGAGTTTCATGAGTGGGTGCAGTTTCTTTCTTTTTTTCTTTTTTTTTAATTGTACAATTGTACATTGAGGGGATCAAACTTTCATCCACAAATACGTTTTTGTGTCCAATTATGTTACTTAATAGTTAACATTAATTAATTAGCACAATTGAAGTCACCCCCTGGAACCATTAAGAATGACACTTACTATGTGAAAATCTGATCATAAAAACGAAAGTTATTTAGGGTGAAATACCTTGCATCACTGTGTACACATTAAACATTATCTATATTCTATTACATTTACAGTAAACAATATTTCTACTTTTTCTTGGAAAGCATGTGAGTGGAATTAGTTGTAAGGAGAGAATCTAAACTAAATTGCTAATTATGACAGGGTATTATTTTTCTGAAAATTTCACTTGAAAATTATATGCAACAAAACTTTTGAGCAAATATGCAACAATTTTGAGTTGAAGCAGGTTTTTTTTCTTTTCTTTTTTTTTTTTTGCTCAAAAGAACACCTATAAATACTACCATCTCTCATAATTCAGACTAAATAAAATCTGAAAATTAAGGAATCATACAAAACCACACAAAAACTGAAAAATGACACGTAAATCCTCTATATTAAGCAATGGTTCCAGCAGACATTAACAACATGAAAAACTTCCCATTAACACAATCTTAATATAAAAAAAGGAATTTCTATAAAAAAAAATTTGACTCTGATAATAACAACCTTTTTGCTCAATTTTGCTATCGTGCAATTTCTTTGCGCTGTTCACCATCAATTCCCTACGTAAAAAAGCTAACATGAAGACATTTTAAAATGTTCTATTATAACAAAAATTGTGAACTTCATATTTGCAATCTCCAGTTCTCTAAATAGTTACAGGAAGTGGAACCTCAATATGGCAGACTTCTTGTATTTGTTGGCTAAGTTGTGAATAAGTCCTTCACAAATTCATAGAATTTTTAGGTGAAACTAAATTTTCTTATCACAAAAAGAGCAAATATTTCCTCAAATCAGTAATCTAATATTTCTCTATTATTTACTGTTTAGCAGCGACTTTACATCTCTGTATAATGATATAAATAAGGGATTACAAGAAGAGGGACGAACTGCTAGTAGATTGTTTAAGATCATAAAATCTTTAGCGCATTAACTTGACGTATTCTTTAAAAATCTTGAAACAAAGAAGTTTAAATATTTCCCTTAGCTTTAAAAGGCAGATAGAATTAATGTCGATATTCGCCAATAAAATATTCTTTGAAGACAGTGAAAATGTTCTTAATAATATATTGAGGTATCTTAGAAAATTCAAAGGATATTGTATATACATGATTATCTCAATTCCCAGATTTAGAGAAAACGTTGCAGTTTATTTCAAGATCACACATTGCTTAAAATGGATGATCTTAAAGGGACATTTTGTTTGATGGTTTATAATGGCAATTGTCAATGGAATTGACAGAATTTTGAGTAAAATTTACATGAGTGAAAAAATTTGTCAAACTAGGAGACACATTAGAAAAAGTGAAGTGTGCGGATTCCTAACATTACATCAAAACACAAGGAACTTAATACTTGAACAATCTTCCTCAAAAGTTTTCGATCATGAAAAAATTTCAAAATCACCGCTCATAATATCTGGGTCTTGATATGCATGTCAGTAGATCTTTTCATCAATGAACTCCATAAGAATGACTGTAAAAAGCCACCTTCATTCTGATTGAAGTGATTCTTGTGTATTATTAAGGACCAGCTATAACCCAAAGATAAATGCCAATAACTTTCAGCAACAGGTGTCAAACTAAATGATATTAAATGAATGCAGATTTTGATGTTATATTTGTCTATATAATAAATGAATGTGTTTTAAAAAGTATATTAAGTAAAGAGGCTTAAGACATTTTTCAGCAAAAAAAAATAAATAAAAGTAATTAACAACTTTTGAGAAGTGTATTTAAAAAGCTCCTCACTATAAAAAATTTAAAAACATTATCTTTATTTTTTTTTCTCCCAGGGGAATTATTTTCAAGGCACTATCTAAATCATAAATTAAGCTAAAATATTTTTTAAATACTTTTTATTCAATTTCGTTTGATAAAAAAAACAACAACAAAAAAACAGCCAATATAGTAATAAAATATAAATTTGACAGTTTGAAATCACAGCAAGTGTAAAATAAAATCTAATTTAAGAAAGAAAAATTGCACTGAACTGCGGCACGCTGAACATTTTAAAATACATCAGAACTCAAATGGCACACTAATCGGAGAAAGTTCACCATCCCTGGACTAGACAGTTCACTATTTATTTGTTGATCGACCATTTATCCATCAGCAAAGTTTTTTTTTTTTAAATTAATAAAATACAAATTTATAATATAATATTGAATATAACACATAATGAAACAAATTTATAATATATAAATTTATGGTAGTAATAAAATATGTATTTACAATATTATAAGAAATATAAAATAGTCATACTTCATGAAATGATATGGATGTGTTTCAACAATGTAGAATGTTTTCAGATTAAGAATTTAAAAAAAGTAAGGAATTTTGAATTGACATTAATGAGTTGATTAAGTAACTATATGATTCAGTATTTCATAATTCAGTTTTTAATCTTTTTGTGTCATTTTTAATATCAACAGTGTAAGATGTGAGCTTCATAATGAGTTCTTTTAGATCTTGAAAAATATAGTATCTAAGTTCCACATCTATAATAGGTTCATACCACAGATTTAACCTTTTGAAAGGATCATACAGCTTCATTAAAGTTTTCAGCTTCTTAGTAGCATTTCTTATTTTAAATTTTTCTTTACAAATATCCAGCATAGTAGTCATTGCAGAAACTATTTTCTCATGAAATTTGTACTCATTAAAAGTAAGAAAAAGGTCCATTATTTTATCACAAACAGAGTAAAGTTCAATGTCACGTGTAAAGTTCCTGAAAGAAACAAGAAGTACAACTTATTGAAAAATAATTTTAAAATACAACTAAGCTAAACATAAAAAAAAAATATTAAAAGTCTTACAATTAAATGTGTAGAAAGCAAATAGTTTAGCCAAACAAGCCTAGGATTTTTTAAGCATTTATTATTAAAGCTAAAAAAAGTGATTTGAAAGAAAAACTTAAGAATAAACCTGTAGATCAGTGTTCCTTAACCTTTTTGATATAATGGACCTCTAAAAATTTTTAAGAAGTCACGAACCACCCCCCTGTGAAAAAAATAATTACACAAAACGTCAATTATCAGAAAACATGCAATTTTATTATTTTAATAGTACATAAAATTTTTAAAATTAAAATTTTTAATGTGAAGGTTGCTGCTGCTTTTCCTTACTTAACAAATTGAATTGGGGATGGTTTTCAACAAAGCAAACGGGCATATCATGTTCAACATTCAATTGATTTCGATGTTATGTTTTTATTGTCACAATTGTGGAAAATCCCGCTTTGCAAAGATACACTGTAGCAAATGGAATTATAGCTGCCATAACTTGCTTTACAAGCAATGGGTAGGCTTCCAAACATTTTAAAAATTAGGAGTAGTCAGCGGACCCCCAAAATATAACTCATGGACCCCTTAGGGGTTCATGAACCACAGGTTAAGAAACCCTGCTGCAGATTGATTTTGAGTTAGGTGGGAACTCAAAAGAAAGAAAACAATTACAACAGGTTTAGGATTTTTTAAACTTTTCATATTTAGACACTTTTTGAGATAATATTTTTTGGTTAAAGGTTATTTATTTACATGCAATTATAGTTGTGATTTTGTATTTTATTTTGTGATTATCTATTTTCAGTAACATCCTGCAACCTGCTTTTTTTCTAAAATTTCACTTTTATAAAAGTTTTAGGAACAGCTTGCTGTTCAACTTTTACATTTAATTGAGCATTACTATTTCTGGCAGTTTCCAGGGGGAAAATAAAATTTTTCACTAGTGGCAATAACTGCATTATAAATAAAAGTATCTCTAGATAATGCTTCGCCAGGCATAAAAATTTACTATTAGACCAAAGATCAGGGCCGGATTAAGACCTCTTGAGGCCCTAAGCACTGAAAGTATTTTGGTGCCCCATCTTAAAAATATATCCCATATTAGGTATCGAGTTAATTTAAAATAAAAAATCACATTTTTTAAAAGAATTTATTCAAATTTTAAAAAAATAAAAATATTAAAAATAATTCATAACTGCTAATTACAAATTTTGTGAAAAAAAATTTTCCATTTGAAATGAAATCAAGAAAAATTTTAAAAAATAAACAAATTTTTTTTATTTAGGTTTCACTGGCACTTAAAACTATTTAGAATTTCACAGTATTTCTTAATAACTACTGACAATATATATTTCGAAATTCTTTGTATAAAATTAGGTGGAGAAATAGGTTTGTTAGAGGTCGTAAATTAATACTTATATGAAAAAAATCGAACTTTAACGAAACATCATAGAGATTCGTTAGATTAAATGGTCGGCATTCTCTAACATTAGAAAAAATATTTCATAAAAAGCTTAAAAATGTCATGTAAGATATTTATTTTGGTTTACATTGTGTATATCTAAGTAGTTCTCTCCTACTTTTTTTAATTGCAAAATCTTCGATAATATCTTTGAAGCTAATTTGTCACAATACACCAGCTTCTATCCAAAATAAAGATAAGGTATCTAGTTCTTCCTGTTGCACTGTTGTTCTTAAGGGGATTTCAATGCAATGCAACTGAGAAAATGAACACTCAGCAGCACATGATTAAAAAAAAAATTTCTGCCGTTTGTTTCCACAAATTCATGGTGTTGGTGTACATATGTATGGAATTGCTTCAGCTCTACTGCTTAGTAACTATTTAGGTCTTCTGGGTACGATTTTATTAATTTTTGCAGAATTGAGAAAACCCTTGTAAGTCAATGGTCAGCAATGAATCACTCAGAAAAGAAAATTTTTCAAAAATTCCTCATAGATTTCGCCTCTTCTTTTCAGTTCAGTAGTGAGTTTATCCGCAATTTCATAAAAAGGGGAGCTGAGAAATTTATCTCTTGCACCCAATCAAACTTCTGCTGAATCACCGTCAATAGGCCATTTTAACACTTAAACAAAATCAAACTTATATTTCATTAATTTGCCTTTAAAAACCTGTCTAAAATTCAATAATTTAAATTATCTGTCTAATGAAAAGGAAGAATCCCTAAGTATTGTTAATAAAAACATTTTAATTTGCAATAAACAATGGGGAAGAAAAGAGGAACCAATTTAAAAAGAATAAATGGTTACTTTCATCAAGTCTAAAATTTTTGCATAAATCTTGTTCCTATTTAAAGGCCTGTAACTATATCGTTGGCTGAAACTTTTCTTTTAAAATAGTCACGAAAACAAATAGTAAAATAATTGATGAAGCAAAATAAAAAGTAAACAATTCGAAAAAAAATAGAAGTAAATAATGAACAAAAAGTAAAATAATCCAAGCACGAACAAAGTTAAACAAAATACTTTAAGCTAAGGTGTAAAGTGTTCAACAAAATGCTTAATTGTGTGTAGATACGGGAAATTAGTTACTGATTGTAGCTTAAATCATGTTATTGGTTAAAAATTATGTCTATCAAGAAACCTCGCTTTTACTAGACCTCCCTCTTTCTTATAACAGATCCTAAGTTACCACTTATTATTCTATCGCTAACCCCTCGAAAGAAAGACAATTTGAATTTTCAAAGATATGGACCTTTTCCCTAAAAAAAAGGAGGGGGGCGGGGGAGTCGCCTATAGGATGCTTAAAGATATCTGAGATGAAAGGATGTTCTTTGCAGTAAATCAATTGGTTACACTTGTTATGTCCTTAAATGGTTCTCAGAAAATTTAGCTTTGTATTTCAATCCATATGTTGTTGAAAATCACGGTGTTCCTTTTCCGGAGCCTTTGAATTCATAAAATCGAATGCTGGCAATATACCATTTTTGCTGTTATCCCGTGGAATTGTAAGTTACACACAGAAAGCTAGATTAAGTTAAATTGAACCACGTTTCCCTATAACCTTTAGTGCTTACACCAACAATATTTTTTCCCCTCGTTTATGAAGAATGACTAATTTTTATATTTAAAAAAAAAGAAGATAAATGGACGATGGAAATGCGTTATTTATTTATTTCAATCTCATGCACGAACGAGCTACAAGTAAATTAAGCACAATTATTAAATTTATTTTTAGTAACAGAAATATTATTATTTTCAAATTTTTTATCTGTCCAAATTATCATCAGGGGTCTGTCCTGGCCAAATTTGCTACCGTTTAGCAGTACCTTCACAAATTCAACTTCAGGAAAATGGCAGTTTTACAAAATACTTTTTCTTAGAATTTTATTTTTGTATCTCGTAAGAAACGATAAATCCATATTTTTGTGTTGATATTTTAATATTCACAAATTATGTCTAAATTTTCACAAGAAAAACCTTCCTCTCAGAAAAACCTAGACAGACCCCTGATCATTCAAAAATAATAATTGATTACAGAAATTAGGCAAAACATTCATATTATTCTTATTCAGTATCTAATTCTAAATATATATATGTGTGTATATATATATATACAGTATAGAACCCGTTATCCGGAAATCAGAAAACCGGAAAACCAAAAAACCGGAATGAAATTCGATAAATTTTCCCGCCATTTCTTAAAAATTTTTTTGTTTTTTTCCTTATAAGATTTTAGGATTTTTCTTTCTTTTTTGAAAGATGTTCACCTTACCATCATTTTGGAAATAATCATTAGTGTATTACTTCATCGACTTTTCTTCTTTTTAAGATTATTTCCAAATTTTTTTTTTTTTTAGTTGGGTTTAACAATAAAAAAACGGCTTTTTGTAGCGATTCCGAAAACCGGAAAAACCAGTTATCCGGAATAGCGATGGTCCCGATCGTTCCGGATAATCGGTTCCCTACTGTGTATATATATATATATAGTGACCTCTCACTTATGCACCACCTCTTTTATGCACTTTTTTCATTTATACGATGATTTTTATAGGTCCCAATGCATTAGGTAGAAAAATAATGATAAACATCTTTCGTTTATGCGTCGCTCTAAAACTAAATTTTTCGATTATGTGCCAAAATTTTAGGCTGACATTTTAATTTTTTTATCCCTTAAATATTTTTTCTTTTTTTAAAAAAAAAAAAAGTTTTAATTTAAAAATGAAGCAAATTAGCAATCTTGTTACAGATAAAAAGAAATATATGTTGTTAGATTCTATTGAATTTTCTTCCCTTTGTGACCTTCTCATTTTTGCTGTTTCTGGAAAGACATTCTTTCAACAATTTTGAATAGGGTGTCTTATCTGTTACACCAACAGCAATGATCATCTTTATCTCATTCATCTTTAAGAAAATGACCATTCCTCTTGTCCAGAAGTTAGTTTTACTCCCATGCTGTTTTCTAGAAAAAAAGGACACCTGGAATATGAAAGAGACGGCTATCACTTACTTGCAGACATCATGCACTTACTTGCAGACAGATGGACATCATGAGTAAATAAAAGGAGGTGGTTTGTTTAGTGACAGTAGTAATCGAACAACTTATTGTGTAGCATATTATGACGTCAAGTACTTTTCTTAGAAATTTATCATGTGATATTTCACCCCTTCCCATAAAACTCAAATTTTTTGTGAAGAACTGTTCATTTATGTCAAACTAAAACTTGTGGACGATGAGAATGTGGTGGATGATACCGAGGAGGATGAAAAAGTTCCTCTGAATCACACAGCAGTATTAGAAGCTTTAGACACTATTTGGGACTATTTACAATTTAATATTACTTTTGAAACTCCCCCTTATCCCTTTTATATGAACTGGAAAAAACTGTTTTTGAAATATGTGGGCAAAAACAAATACAAACATGTATTAAGAATATTTTGTGAGAAAATAAATTGTCTTAAGTTATGTAAAAAAAATTTTTTGTATAGTTATAGTAAATACCAAAACAATATAAATATTAACATTTTATCTTTAGACACATATTTATTCATATTGTCCCTGCAATTTACGTTGTATTTTAGAATTTTGAAGTTTTTCACTTTTGCGCTTTTTTCTGTTGGTCCCTTACACCGGTGCATAAGTTAGAGTTCACTGTATATATTAAAGACTTAACCCAATAATTTAAGCATGGAGGTCACAAGAAATAAATCAACATGCCTGGGTAAAGGCTGAAACTGGACTAAATATTTCATTATAGATAAGGGGTTATATTAATGACAACACTGCTGCCATCTATGTCAGCATTTTTGATGACAACATGTACAACAATATAAACTAACTCATTCAACACTCCCACTTTAGTTTACATTTTTGGGAATACTAAAAGAAAAATCACAAATGTGCAGAAAAAATAAAAATAAATCATTTTAGTCCCATTGATTTTCCACAATATTCATGCTTAGTTCTATTAACAGTTTTTGTTAAATAGTTCGCAATCATTTGAGACATTTCTACACCTTGTATTGTAACATGACCAAGTTTCACGGCCTCACGTACAAAATGATGCTGTACATCTATGTGCTTTGTTCGTCCGTGAAATTGACTATTTTTAGTCAAACTTATGGCTCCATTATTGTAAATGAAAATGACTAATGGTTTTTCTTCTTCACTTTGACTATTGTCCGATACAACTCTCCTCTTTTTAGGTTCACTAACAGAAAAAAAATTTCTGTTCTTGGTTGGCC